TTTGTTATAAAACTTCTACCTTTACAATTGTGACAGTCCCAATTAGTTATGATAACTATTACTCACTATTGGATCATAAGAATCTTATCCCCATCTCTTTTAACCAGGCCCATCTAGACAAGATGAAAGCTATTCAGTGGTGACTCTCTGTTCCCCCACACACTCTTAAACTAAACTCCCTCTTGAAACCTTGTAAGCCAGTCACCTAGTGCCTTTATTGCCCCCTCATTTTAGGTAGCCAGTGTCTGAGTTTCCCGTCCCTCTCTACCCTGTGTACAGAGGGGAAAGCATTGAGACTTCAAGTGAAGATTCCTTCCCTTTCTGATTAGAGTTACTATCTCTAAGAGTATAGTTCCGGTTCATCAAATTGTAGCAGTTAACCTTGTTTCCTTTATCAAAACTTGTTTTTTTGTTTTTTATCTTCCTCTAGTCGAATTCTGATTAACAAGCCATCGAGGCTAGGTAAAATGGGTACTATCTACAAGTTTGGGTGTTCTTGTGCATCTCCCCACACTTCATATCAGCTGGATGCTTCACTCTCAGCTCTAGCCTTCTGTGTCTATGTCCTTGTCCAGGGGCTCAGGTGTCCCCTGGTCTCACCACACTTTGGACCAACCAGCCCTTCCTCCTCTCTCTCTCATCTCCAGGTCAACAGAAGTTATAATTATTTTTTAACTATCTTCAACAAAATTTTCCTTGCATGTGATATTTATATCATCTGGTGATTTCCGTATTCTGTTGGGTCACCTCCCCTTGCAATGGGCACAAATATGGACATCTTCTAATTGGCAGCTGTATTTTAGATGTTTTGACATAGATGAACGAGCACCTCCAGTATCATGTCAGTTTGCTGAAGCATTTCATTTTATATCGTCAGTTCCTCGGGCCTTGCCTTTCGCTAGTGCTGTCGGTGCAGCTTGGACTTCCTCCTTCAGTACCATCAGTTCTTGATCACATAGAAGCTATTGAAATTGTTGAATAGCGATCAATTCTTTTTGGTACAGTGACTGTGTATTCCTCCCATCTTCTTTTAATATTTTCTGCCTTATTCAATATTTGTCCGCAGAATCCCTCAATATTGCTATAGGAGGCTTGAATTATTTCCTTTAGTTTGAGAAATGCTGAACATGTTCTTCCCTTTTGGTTTTCTAACTTCACATTTCACTATTGTAATACTGGACTTTGTCCTCTTGAGTCATCCTCTGAAATTTTCTGTTCAACTCTTACAACATTCTGTCAACTGCTTTAGTTTCTCTATGTTCAAAAGTAAGTTTCAGAGTCTCTTCGGACATCCACTTAGGTCTTTTTTGTGTGTGTTTCCTGACTTTTTAAGGACCTTTTAGTTTCTTCATTTATGATATTCTTGATATCATTCTATAACTCTTCTGGTCTTTGGTCATTAGTATCTAGTGCACCAAATCTTTTCTTCATTCAGATGGTTTGTAAATTCAGGTGGGATATACTCAAGGTCAAGTTTTCACTCTGATGGATGTGTTTTAATTTTCTTCAGCATTTCTGTGTATTCCATATGGTGAGGTCCAGGTACATAGTCACCTTTTATGTTGCTTAAAAACAAAAAAGGCAAATGTATTGGCCATCAATATGTCATTGTTCTGGCAAAATTTTGTCATGTCTCCAGCACGTGTTTTTTTTTTTTTTTCACCAAGGCTGTATTTCCCAACTATGGATCTTTCCTCTGTTTCCAACTTTTGCATTCCAGTCATCAGTAATTATCAGTGTACCTTGACTGCATGTTTGATCAATTTCAGACTGAATGAGTTGGTAGAATTCTTAAATTTCGTCATCACTGTCTCTATAATCAGAGGGACTATGCAAATAAGGTGCTTATGGCCCACCTAGGAGCAGGTACAACTTGTTGCTAATGCAAATAGATTGCATGGCATCCTTGGGGGGGGAGGGGGTGCCATGAATTTAGTTGATATGATTTTTGTATCCAATGTCTTTTTAATTCTCACCAAGTGATTGGGTGGGACCATGCAAATAAGGTAAACAGGATTCTACGGCTGGGATTGGTCAGTTTTACCATCTTGCTATGTTTAAAAGGCACCGTCTCAGAAGCAGGAACAGATAATGCCAGGACCATCACAAAAAAATGCTATGAGTAGAGTGTGAGGCTCCCTACCTAGAAAAGAGGCAACAGCAGAGGTGGTGGCAGAGGTGGTGACATGGAGCAGTTGTGGGCATCTAGGCCCATGGAGTGAGTAAAGCTGAGTGCCTACAGGCAGGAGGCAGGCTTGCGAATGTGTTCTTTGAACATTTACAGAGTGACTAAAGGAGCTTGGTAACACTTGCCTGAGCAGGGCAGAGGCCACAGGGCCACATGGCTGAGAAGTCGAAGACAAAAGTGAAGGATGCCTGCAGTATGGCAGGTAAGAGGTGTTCCTGACTGGAGAACTGCTGTGTCCTGAGTTTACCTGATCCTGAATTGTAATTGGTTCACTTCTCTAATAAATTCCACAATCTTGAGAATTGTTGTGAGTTCTGTGTGGCCATTGCAATGGATTATCAAACCCAGATGTGAGATAAGAGAGTGCTGTGAAAGGGATGGTTGGTGTTAGAATAGGGGAAAAAAGGTTGCAGGGTGGAGGCATACGTGAACTTTACTTCATGGGAATTATCTTGGGCTGATTTTGAGCTTGATTCTCTTCTCCCCTTGTGAAGTCAACAGCAGTCAGACATGGCCCCCACATGGTTTTTGCAGGGTGGAACCGTGAAAGCAGTTGTATGGAAAAGGGTGGGACCATGTTAGTTCTATGAAAGCTTACAAGGGGATTGGTCAATTTTCAGATTTGTTATCTTGCTGAGATTAAAACGAGGCACCATCCACCCAAGGTAGACAGTGGGAACAATTACGACCAAAGAAGAGATGGGACTGTTTAATGAGTCCTTGGGACTTAGGGTCCCTGGACTAAAATCCTCCTAGACTCAGGAGACTGTGACACTGGAAACAGCATAGAACAGTGTGAGACGCACTGGCAACAGAACCAGGAGACTGATATGAGAGAGTACAGTGGGCTTCTCAACCTGTAGAACAGTGGGTAAGCTGAACCACTGAGCAAGAGAGCTGACTGCCTTTGGACAGAGACTTACTGGCCAAGTGGGGTGTCCCTAGGTACTTACTGGCAGAGCTTTGTAACATGTGCCAGAGTAGGGCAGAATCCAGGCCACCATGCCAATGGCCACGGGGCCAAAGAGAGGCCTGCCTACGGGCACAGCTGAGAAGAGGCTGTCCTGAGAGTTCTTCCTGATCATGAATTGTAACCTGTTGCTTCCTAATAAATCCCGTAACTCTGAGAATGGCCTGTGAGTTGTGTGTAGAGAGTGCCGCAGGAAGGACAGCTGGTGGCGTCTTAACTGGAGGTATGCGGGAACTCTACCTCACAGGAGTCACCTTCAGGGCGGTACTAATAATGATTTTCGTTCCCCTTTGAGAAGTTAAAGGAGGTCAGGCACCTTTGCCATGACATTTTTTTAACAAGCATCTAATCAGTTTTTTAATTAAGAGAGAAGTACCCATGACAAATAATAGGTTGTCCATTCCCAAGTAATCAATAATCAAACCAGACACACTTCTTATATTAATATTTTTAGATAAATTTTCCATTAGAAAGAATGAGTAAGATAATTTTTTATTGTTGAAAATAAAGTATTTCTGTTTTCAATCTTTTTCAATGTTCTCACTTTCTAGTTTTTCTCATTCCAATCCAGAAACACCCCTCCCAGAGTTCATGGGTTTTTCTTCTCCATTTTAGTAAAAATATACACTGATTGTAAGAATCTTACTAGCTTTCCATTTGTTTTGCCTCAGTTCCTACATTAATCCAAACAATAAGGGCCTTTAAAACATTCATAAATAACCTGCTGCTGCTGGCACCTACCAGCCAAGTGCAGCAGTGTTAAAGCAACAACAAATTTCATAGTTCAAGAGGCACAGTTAAGAAAAAAGGTTGCTCAGGAAATCATTCTTATTTAGCACAAAAATCCTTAAAAATTGCATGAAATCAGTCAAGTAACTATAGAAACCAATTTCTTCAGCTCCATATCACACGTCTCACACCTCAATTGTCTTTATTATCGTCTGCTGTCAGATCCTTAATCAGAAATGTGAACAGGCTTGATGATTTATTCAGCAGGGAAAAGAATCTGTAGGTCAAGTGAAAAATTTCACACACACCCATACACACGCCACATCTTCAACCTTAGGTACTTTCATTTCATTCTGTTCCCAGCAGCTCTGGGGGCAACTCCAGTGAGATCCAATATTAAGGCTCAATTAAAATAAGCTCCAATTAGTGAAGCTTTTTTCTCTAGGGCTAGAAAAGTCAGGAAATGGATATTGGGAAATGTAAAAAGTCAGCTACTGAGAGGAGACTGCAGACATAAATGAACTTATTTGTTGATTTCTACAGTTGCTATGCAGAGGCCTCTGGGAGTAAAAGCTTAACCAGTCTAAGCTATAAACTAAAAACCCTGCAGCTAAACATGAACTGTGTGAAACAAGGGCTCCATTCCAGAACAGAAAACTGCTGGGCCCAGAAAATTAAAAGCCAGAGGCATTTTCCATTTAAAACTAAATCCCAGTACCGCCTCCCAGCCAAAGAATTATAAGTAGTATCAGATTTACAAAACGAACAATTACCCTGGAAAAATGTAGTCTATTGTACAGTCCCAGATGCTAAATCTCAAAAGTTTCTTTCTTTTTTTTTAATCCCACATTATATCCCTACCAAGTACACTGCTCAAGTTTACAAAGAGCCATTTCGAGACAGGCCTAAGCCTTGAAAATACATTTTAAAAAGAGAGCACATAACTCATTGACCTCATTTGAAGTCCTGCCCTTGCCTGTAGCAGTTCCTGTCCTTCCCCAAGGCTTCAGCAAATGGTATGCAACAGCAAAATAAACCCTGACCTAATTGCCAGGAGAGAGCTGCCAACCTTCCCTCAAACACAAAGACAGCATGGTAACTTGAAAGTCCTACCTCTTTGGCTTTCTGCTTTAATCTCAGCTGTTCTGGATCTTCTTTATTGGAACGACTCTATCAAAGGAAAAGAAAATTTTAATAGAAATTACTAGCATCTAAACACCATTGTTGCCGTTAAATATTTAATAAATGACAATTTTCTCTTGTGATTGAAAATCTTAGCTCCAGGGGAAAATGCCTCAATCCAGTCTGGATGCACTTCCTCCACGACTCCCCCCTCCCTGTCATCATCTGGGCCTGCTGCTGCAGTTGTAGCCTGGAGGAAACGAACACTGAATATGATGCTAACTATGTCAGTCAGGTCCAGTTGAGGCATGGCCTTGTTCTTGTCAGAACACTAAACACTAGGAAACGGATGGTGCGGATAAAAGAAAAGAAAGAAGGATAATTTTTGGCTCACATGAAAGGAAAACAATCAACACTGACTGATCTTCAGATGAAGCCTTTTTGGAAAAACATATAGTATTTAAGGACTATTAAAAATAAAGAATTAGGCCTGATTTACCTTTATCCAAATCTCTTTTTCTTTAAAAGTGTAACCAATTTTAATACAAGAAGAAAATATACCTTAAGTGATTTCACTGATTATCATATCATCTTTGGATCCTCTATAGCATCTCACAGAATTGTGTACCCAAATAAATTTTCAATAAATATTTATTAAATGCCACTTTCCATACTCATACCATTTAACAATATAAAAATGAATAGACCAAAAGGACTCTTATAAGAGCTACCTTCTATACAGAATGCTGAGAGTGAGCAAAGGGTAAGGGACTCTATTTCTGCCCACTTAAATAATAGGCTTGAGATGGAACTCCTTATAATGCACAAATGTTCTATAAAATGTAAGATTAGCTAGCTACTAAACTAAAAATAGCTAACAAAATGAAACCTATAAGTAACTTGATTTGCTAAGTCGTACCTGAAAATTTACCAATTAGGACCTTCACTAAAGGAAAACACAAGAGAAACTGTTTAGATATAGGAATACCTTCTAATTTTAAAGACCTTAATTAAATACTAATATAAATTTCTACTCAAAGCTAGTAATTTTTCACTTAATTTTAATCCCAGAGCTACCGAAACAACTTAATTTTAGCCCAAACTAAGACAAACTCTACCTATAATATAAGCAGAAAATGAGTGCTTGTATGTATGTATAAATATGTGTCTGTGTATATGTGTACATTTTTTTGCCTCAGTGTAAAATAAGCACATCTGACTATCAAATTCTTGCCAATCAACCAGTATTTACTCATTATCTAAAGTACAGATTCTATTCTGTGTGCCATTGTTCCATGGCCTTAGAGATCTACAGATGAATAAAACAAAGTCTCTGTCTCAAGAAACTTACACTTAAAGGAGATGAAAATAATAAAACAATTTCATAGAAATTATACATCCATTTGACATATAAAACATTTATGATGAAGCATTAACAAAAAAAAAAAAGAACTGCTCATACTGCTAAGTGATATAAAGAAATAAAATAGGATAACGTGATAAAAAAGCAGAGAGAAATATTGGATGGATAATACCTTAAGCTAGCTAGCATGCTAGCATGGCAGGAAAGGCCTCTCTGAGAAATGACAAGGGAACAGAGATTTGAATGACAAGAAGGAGCTAAATTTGCAAAGATTTGCAGGAAGAACATTCCAAGCAGAGGTATAGTCATTGTCAAAGTCTTTAAATGGGAACACGTATGGCATACTAGAGGAAAGTAAGCATGCTGTTGGAGTATAATAAAGAGCTGAAGGGATAAGGCTGGTGAGGTTTGCTGCCTTGCAAGTCATGAAAAGGACCTGAGGCTTTACTCTAGCTATACGAACAAACCACTGGAGTGTTTGGGACAGAGTAGTAATATACTATTGATATGAAACTTTCAAAAGATCAGTCAGGCCACTATGCAGAGAATCCAATGTAGGGATTCAAGACTGGAAGTATACAACTAGGAAACTTATAAAGCAACTATTCTGAATAAGAGACTATTTGTGTTAAAAAAAAAAAAAAAAAGAGTGACTTCAAGTATTCAGAGCAGAGATGATGATAGATGGTTACATTCAATATATATTTTAGTGTCCAATCCAACTAGATTTAATAACGAACTGGATATCTAATATGAAGCAAAGACAGGAATCAAGGATGACTTTCAGACCTAAGCAATGGGGAGGATGGCCATTTCAATTTTCTGAGATTGTAAAGACCCAAGAAAAGCCTATTTATGGGAAAGGAACTCAATGTTCGGTTTTAGATTCTCAGTTAGAGGTGGGACACAGGTTAGCACAGTCATGAAACAGAAAGGTCAGTGTGACTGGAGCAGAATGAGTAAAGAAGGGAGGCCAACTCAGAGAGAAAAGAAGGTGCCAGATCATGTAAAGACGTTTACATTTTGGAAAGGAATTTGGATTTCAACTGCAATGGGAAGACACTAAAGAATTTTAGACAATGGAGATACATATGATTTGTGAAGAAGACATTACTGACTATAGCATAAAGAATGGATTGAAAAAGAAAAGGGAGATATGTTAGAAGACACTGGAACAGCCCAAGTGGAAGACAACTGAGCCTAATGTGGTAACGATGGTGATGGAAAGAAAAGAGGACTACATCTTTGTAGCAGAAAAGGAAGAGAAGGAGATGTGGAGAGAATGAAGGGAAAGAGGAATTCAAGATTATTTATGGCTTGAACATCTAAATGAATGATGGTGTCATTTACTCAGTTAAGAAACCAATAAAAATAAAAGGATTCTGATGAAAGAAGACTATCAGAAGCAAACAGGTCACATTAAATCTGAAGTGCCTGTTGGCCAACCACGTAAAAACATCAAGTAGGCAGTTACCCAAAAGAGTACAGACTTCCAAAATGTGGTTGAGGTGAAAGTATAAAACAGAGAAAATACAAAGATGACAATTTAGGAATGAAACCTGACAAACACCAAAATTTAGAAGTCTGGCAAAGGAAGAAATACCAATAAAGATTAAAAGTAAGTATAATATTTATTGTTGTTAAGTACTGTCAAGTTGGTTCCAACTCATAGGGACCTGATATGCATTTCCAAGGAGCAGCTGGTGGGTTTGAACCAAGAACCTTGCACTTAGTATCCAGTGCTTATCCTACAATGCTACACCAGGAAATAAGATAGCAACAAACAACTTAATTACAATGGCTATGTAACTGCTTATACTAATTGAGCAAGGAAGATTATCTTCAGTTCCATGTCCTTTCTCTTTTTAGTACAGAGGAAGAATCAGCATGGAGTATCTGTGGAACAGATACTGATACTGTGGAACAATGAAAAATTGTATAAGGCTGGGGTTGGAGAAACATGCAAAGGCAATGTCCTGCCAGGCCCAGAGAAGGATGTGGCACCCTTCATCCTTGCAGGAGGACTGGGGTACATGAAGGTGTAGGCCAGCTGTTGAGAATGCAAGGTAATGGGAAGTTGGGGGGCCTTGCCAAAGCATATGACTATGGCCATGGTGTCCAATTACATGGGCAATGAAATGGGGGTGGGAGGAGTTTGTAAAAGTAGTAGCAAACAGAAGACAGTGAAATCAGCCAGGCTGGAAGATTTTTTATCTTGATCAAAATTAGCAAACTGATTGAAGAGATAGCAAATATACTGAGAAAACAAGTAAGTTTCGAATTACTGAGAAAGTATTTATAAATATGTAAAAGTTAAGAGTAGAAAGAACCCTGAGATGTTGGACTGGAGTTATTGGTTGGTTGGTTATGTGCCATGGAGTCAGTTCCGACTCATAGCGACCCTGTACATTATATCCAAGGCTATAAATCTTTACGGGAGCAGACAGCCTCGTCTTTCTCCAGTAAAACAGCTGGTAGTTTCAAACTGCTGCTGACCTTACGGTTCGCAGCTGGATTTGTAACCAGTACATTAGAGTTGTTGTTGTTAAGTGCCGTTGAGTCGGTTCCGACCCATAGCGAGCCTGAACAGGATTTCTGAGGCTGTAAATCTTTACGGGAGCAGAAAGCCTCACCTTTCTCCCGCGGAGTAGCTGATAGTTTCGAACTGCTGACCTTGCGGTTCGCAGCCCGATTCGTAACCAGAGGCATTATACAAACTCACGGTCTTATGGTGTGGCACTGTAGGATAAGTCCTGCATTGTTAACCACAAGGTAGATGATTCAAATCCAGCAGCCACTCCTTGGAAACCCTATACAGGGCAGCTGAGTCAGAACTGACTTGATGCCACGTGACAGCAACAGTAATAATTACAGACATACATCAGTGTGGACATACACATATATGTACATATATACAGATATATAAGAAGCTCTGGTTGCAGTAGTAGTTATGAGTCGGGCTGATAACCTCAAGGTCAGTAGTTTGAAACTATCAGTGGTTCTTCAGGAAAAAGATGAGGCCGTCTGCTCCTGCAATGATTTACAGTCTTGGAAACCCTATGCAGGGTCGCTGTGAGTTGGAATTAACTCCATGGCACATAACCACCACTACCACCATACAAACATATGTTGCCTAGGTATGCCCACTGATAGGGCCTACATGCAATGAAACCCCAGTAAACAAAGAGCACACACTATGCTTTCTGTTGGTCTTTGCATACCATCTTGAAGTAAAAAGAACCAGAGTTCCAAGTAGCAATGGCTAATTCCAGGGTTACGGCAAGAAAAGTAAATGCAGGGCCTGGAATATCTTGTACCATAAGGTAAGGACAGGCTCAGTGAGTGGTGAAAACATGTTTAAGGGACAAAAGTGCCAGTTAGCAGCGGGGGTTGGTGGTGTGCCATGGAGTCAGCTCCAACTCACAGCAACCCTGTATTGGGGATTCCCAGGCTGTAAATCTTTATGGGAGCAGAAAGCCTCATTTTTCTCCCACCGAGCGGCTAGTAGTTTCGAACTGCTGATCTTGCAGCTAGTAGCCCAACCCAACGAGGAGTAGCTGATAAATTTGGACCACTGACTTTGCAGTTCAAACAACCTATCAGTCTAGTGCTTATCCTACAGCACCACAAAAGGACTCAGACAACTATCAAAGAGGTAGCTAATTCAGATAAGAGTCACCAATGAATGCTAGGACAACACATGGAGGTTTGACAAGAAACAGAATATTGGCATAATGTTAAGACTGTTGTTGTTAAGTGCCATCAAGTCAGTTTTGACTCACAATGACCCTGTATAATGTTTCCAAAAACTACCTGATTACAAAAGAGAAAATGGAAAATTTTTTTTAAATGAAGCAAACTGTTAAGTACCAGTATGACCAAGTCTTCAAGTATGCCAATGCAGTTTATTGAGAATGCAGCATTATTTCTGTGTATTCCTGCCAAGAATGCATGACCTAAGCCTATTGTGTTGGTTCCAATTCATAACGACTACAATACAGGGTTTCCAAGTTGTAAATCTTTACGGGAGCAGAAATTCTTTTATCTTTCTCCCACGGAAACACTGGTAAGCTCAAACCAATGATTTCGTGGTTCTCATCCTGGGGCTTATCCTACAGAGCCACCCTGCTCCCTGACCTAAATTGAGATGGTTCAAATACCTAGTGAATCAAGGTTGAGGGTCCTTTTATCCAATGTAAGGTCTACTATATTCCAGAAAATTGTTAAGGACATCAAAGTCAGGGAAAGACTGATGAACACTAACAGACCAATAGCCACTACTACTTGGAAACTACACAGTCACTAAGAGTCAGACCTGATTCGAGAGCAATTAACAACAACATCACAGAAGTATACTCTTACTTTTGCAACGACATGGTAGGATGTTTAGAAGTGGTAGAGCATCATGTCTAAAGTTTAGATTGAAAAAGGGTAAGAAGACTGATCAGTGGAGATGGTTGCACAACTTTGTAAATTCACTAAAAACTTCTGAATTGTAAAGTGAAAAAAGAAAACTATAATGATAATAGGTGTGTGTGTGTGTGTGTGTGTGTGTGTGTGTGTACACAGAGGATAGGTGAGGGGAGGAGCAAATGCAGGAAAATGTTAAAAATGGAGTAATTTAGAAAAGGGAGTGAAAGTTCTTTGTTCAGTTTTGGCTACTTTTCTATAAGCTTGAAATCATTTCAAAATAAATTAGTTATCCAGAAATTAACCCATCCACATACAGCCAACTGATTTTCGACAAAGTTCCTAAATATATCACATGGAGAGGGCAAAGTCTCTTCAATAGATGGTGTTGGCAGAACTGGAAAGTGATATGCAAAAGACTGAAACAAGAACTTCACCTCACGCCTTATATAAAAACCAATTCACCGAAATGTGAATCTCAGAATTATAAAGGCCATCAATGAAAAAATAGGGACAAATGTGAGGGAATTTGCAGATTAGCAAACATTTTGAAAACTACACACACAAAAGTAGGAAAAAATAGATGATTGGGACACACTAAAAGTTAAAAACTTATGGGCATCAAAAGACTTCACCAGAAGATTAAATAGGGATCCCACAGAATGGGAAAAAATCTTTTGCAAC